CGAAGCGCGTCGGCATTTATACTCTTGCCGTCGAATGTTCTAGCGTTATCGCTGGCGGCGGCGTAGGTTCCAGAACAATCTGTACCGTTCGCACAGTGGGCGTGATCTTATCGAAATGATCTACTACAGTCCGGAACCTTCTCGAAAACTGCAGGCGCGGTTTGCGCTGAGAATCGTGTGGTGTTTTGGGACGATAACAAAAACTTGGGAAATGGAACGTGGCATTGCCCCCCCCTGAAAAAAAGGCATCGTCCCGATGCTTTAACTAAAGATGAAGGTACAATATTAATGCTAGAAAGTACAATGAACAAATTACGATACAACTATAATACAAAAACACTGTTTCAGTTTGTTAACGCGCATGAAACGGCTTGAGGCGCGCGACATGTACGACTTCAGGTCGCGATCGGCGTCATTGAGAGTTCGTGATGCCGTCGGGGACAACCTCGTAATCAAGTGGGCCGAGACGTCGAACCACCTTGTACGGTCCGAAGTACCGTCGCAGAAGCTTTTCACTTAGTCCACGTCGGCGTATCGGCGTCCACACCCAAACACGTTCACCGGGCTGGTATTCCACGAAGCGTCGTCGAAGGTTGTAACGGTGGCTGTCGGTCGTCTGTTGATTTTTGATACGGAGACGCGCAAGTTGTCGGGCTTCTTCGGCGCGTTGAAGGTACTCGCTCACATCGAGGTTTTCTTCGTCGGTGACGTTGGGTAACATGGCATCGAGCGTCGTTGCCGGGCTCCTTCCGTAGACCAATTTGTATGGAGATATCTGCGTCGTCTCCTGCACCGCCGTGTTGTATGCGAAGGTCACATACGGAAGAATGGCGTCCCACGTCTTGTGTTCGACATCGACGTACATTGACAGCATGTCGGCGATCGTCTTGTTAAGCCGCTCGGTGAGGCCGTTGATCTGTGGGTGGTACGCTGTCGCCCGGCGGTAGTTTGTTTGGCTGTATGCCAAAATCGCTTGAGTTATGTCGGCAGTGAATACCATTCCTCTGTCGGTGATAAGGACCTCCGGGGCGCCGTGACGTAGGACGATATTTTCGACGAAGAACTTAGCTACCTCGGATGCACTGCCTTTTGGCAGGGCTTTTGTCTCGGCGTAGCGTGTGAGGTAGTCGGTAGCTACCACGATCCACTTGTTTCCGAAAGCCGACGTCGGGAACGGCCCCAGTAGGTCCATACCAATCTGCTGGAAAGGTCGGCAAGGTGGATCAATTGGCTGCAGAAGTCCCGCTGGCCTTGTCGGCGGTGTCTTGCGTCGCTGACAGTCCCGGCATGTCCTCACATAACGAGTGACGTCGGGGGTAAGACGTGGCCAGTAGTACCTTTCTTGTATCCTCGCGAGCGTGCGAGAAACACCGAGGTGCCCTGCCGTCGGATCGTCGTGCAGGGCCTGCAGGAGTTCTGGTCGCAGAGCTGAAGGCACCACAAGGAGGTACTTAGCTCGAAGCGGTGAAAAGTTTTTCTTTTGTAGAAGACCGTTTCGTAGAAAGAACGACGTCAGTGCGCGCTTGAATACCTTCGGGACTTCGGCGGTCCTGCCTTCGAGCTATTCTATTAGGGCGTCTTTAAGTTCGGGGTTGGCGCGCTGTCGTTCAGCGAAGTCGTCGGTAGTTATCGTTCCCAAGAAGTAGTCGTCATCCGGGTCGTCGGGTAGCGGTTGGTCGACAGGCGCACGAGAGAGACAGTCAGCGTCGGAGTGTTTTTTGCCGGACTTGTAAATGACAGTAATGTCATATTCTTGAAGTCTCAGGCTCCATCGTGCGAGGCGACCTGAAGGGTCCTTCAAGGTGGCTAGCCAACACAAGGCGTGGTGGTCGCTCACAACTTTGAAGGGCCTGCCGTAGAGGTAGGGGCGAAATTTCGATGTAGCCCAGATGATGGCGAGGCACTCCTTTTCTGTTGTGGAATAATTTGCTTCTGCTTTGGATAGTGATCGGCTGGCGTAACTAATAACCCTTTCAAGTCCGTCAGCCCTCTGCACAAGAACGGCGCCAAGACCTACGCTGCTTGCGTCAGTATGTATTTCTGTCTCGGCGAATTCGTCGAAATGGGCTAGTAACGGAGGCGTTTGGAGGCGATATTTAAGCTCCTGGAAAGCGTGTTCCTGTGGCGTTTCCCACTTGAACTCCACGTCGGCCTTGGTAAGGTTAGTGAGAGGATCGGCGATGCGGGCGAAGTTTTTCACGAACCGCCTATAATAGGCGCACAGGCCCTGAAATCCGCACAGGAATTTCCAGGAATGAAATCCGCACTACGAATTTTCGATTAAAACACAAGCCCATTGATCCCGCCTCGCATGGGAGCCTAGCATGAAATAAAATGACGTGAAAGTATCCGACAGTGCTTACTTGTGTTCGAACGTGTTATAATACGCGTGCGCTTATTTATTCAGTATGACATACAAGATTCATCAATTTCAGGTTGGGAATGAACCCTCGACAACGCCCTATCCGCCGCTCCTCTATCTGTAACGATGTTGCAAGCACCGTGCTATCTCTTCGGCTTACTACACAAACACTATTCCAGCTCCAACTAGAAGCTAATTGTGATCGCGCGTACCCTTTCTCAATGTCGCATATTTTTGTATGCCTTGGAAGTATTTACCTTAGGACGTTCTTTTCTTTTAAATCGACGCATTCATTTTTGGCCATCATAGATGCTATTAGTTCAAACGCTCCATTGCGCACCCAAATGCCAGTCGACACTGTAGCGCCTTGCCGAGTTCAAAACCATTTTTTTCTAATGTAGAGCCGTTTTTACGAACACATAGAGCAATTGTCTTCCGCTTGCCGTGTTTGCTTGGTGAATCGGCTATTGAGAGTTCTGGGTTTCTTTTGTGCACTATCATTATGAACTTTATTTTCTTTGCTGCGTGTAAATATGTTTCTCCAGATCGTCGCCATAGCCGCGACGTAGAACTAACGATGACACAGACAAACAAACCCAGCCATCTCCTTCCGGAGCCAGCGGCCTGCGTAATAGCGAGGCGAGTCTAGGCATTCAGTGTTGCACCGGTCAAAGAAATGCATGAAATCAACAGAAAGCAAATGAACTAAGAAAAAAACCACGAACAAACGAAAAAGCAAACGCACAATGGAGCATCTTCCACATCCCTTTCAAATTCTCCAGCCATATATGTGACAATGTTTGTTTGTTACCGTTCTCGGTGTTCGCCTTAGCGCGCCGGCCACTAGTTCTTAGAGGCTTTCGTAGCGTCGCACTAGCCTCCTCTTCGAGTGCGCTCGAGCGAACGGCGACGCTTCGTGTAAAGGGAGAAGGGGGGAGCGGCTCAACTGTGACAGCGATGAAGACCATGTGGAGGCAGTTGAGCAGCTAGAGCGGAGAAAAGGGGAGTCACTCGCGCTTTCACCAACAGGCTGTAGATTCCCCATTTTAGCGACATCTAGAAAGCTAGGAGGATTGCATAAAGGACTTGCTGCGAACGTCCCAGAGTAGCGAGTGTCCGAGTCTTCACCGACTGACGGCATTTCTTCGCACACTAGTGAGAGAGAGAGAGAGAGAGCGTGTTAAGAAGCGAGAACCAAGACGATGTGCCTCGCGAGAATCTGGACAGAACGCCCCACAGCCTAATTAACTTCCCGCTCGGAGGATTTTAAGGCTTCACACGCTGCCGCGGCCGGACTCAGCTCTCATCCCTCACTCTTTCCTTGCTGCGTGTCGTCAGAGCTTGGCGTCTTGCTCTTGGTACTACGAGTAGAGACTTCCCTCATTTACATCCTATCACCCGCCAATGTACCCACGCCCATCTACTTTCCGTTCTGTGATCCACCCCGACTTTATTTTTCACGTTTTTTTAGTATGCATACAATTTCTCGGCTTCGTTGGTTACTTTTGATAGGGATGTTGTGCTCCAGCGTGTTGTAGAGGGCGCCTTTGTATTTGCTATCTTGTAGCATCGCGGGCTGCTCTCGTCGTCTTCCATGCGCTGCGCGTGCCCGTTGTGGTGTGTCTGCGCGCGTTAGTACGAGAGCGTAGTGAGCCGACCGGCCGGCCACAAAAGGCATTAGTGCATTTGTCACCCAGACAAAGTGCAGGTGCCAGAATGGCAAGCGGCGGGTGAATCTCTCTCGCGTGGCTCATACATAACTTACGTCGCGCGGCTGGCGCGCCGACGTGGCAAGCAAACAGCTAAAACGGGGTACACAGCCGGCTTTGGCAGCAAACCTCGGCGGGCACTACACGGGACGAGAAACACGGACAGGTGTTACGGGCCGCCGAGCTAGAGTATGTGCGGCCTTTCGCTGGTCGGCCCCTCCAGTATATTTCATAGCGCTTCTTGTCTCGTACTCTGATGCCTCCTGCACTATTTCAGTGAGCTTCCCTGACGTTGTTTGTGGGCGCCACGTGGAGCGGTTGAAGTGGGAGAGAGAAGTTGCACGTAGGGATCAGTAAAAGGACTAGATTTAGGAGTCTAAGAAAAAGGTGAAAGGAGAAAGGAGTGCGATTAGTGAGCCATACTAGCTAAAAAACAGAAACAAAAAAGTTTTCGGGAAGACGTTCTGAAGCAAAACCAAGAAGTCCAACTCTCGGATTTAATATATCGCATCTTTATATAGCCCATACCTGGTGGCCGACGGCCAATTTGCAGGATAAGAAGAAAAGCTTCGAGAATTTGGCCCCATGTTGCCCCTGAACTCTCATTTGCTTCGTGATTTGTTGGAAATTACGTGTTGAATTCAAATATTTCATTTATCAGAAATGTTCTGTAACGTTTTGTTTTGTTTGTGTGTGTGATTTTTTGTTTCGTATTCTTCGAAGATGCTTGCTGTTCATTATTATGGAACTGATGTATTCGAGTCCTTTTTGAGTGTGCTCACCTTGAAGAGTTCAAGCTGTGATGAACTGCGAAGGGACGGAGGTTTCTGTCAGGTTTGTCTGTTTTTAACACTTGCCCCCTAGTGAGGCATGTATTCTGCAAACGTTCAATAAAATACTACTACTAACTACTACTACTTCTACTGCAGAGCCACACAACATGGTGCCGCCCCGCATCACCCACCGGTTGGGTCAAGTGACGGCTCTGGAACACAGCGAGGCCGTGCTACCATGCGTGGCTCAGGGATACCCACTGCCTTCGTACCAGTGGCTTAGACGTCGTGACGGTGATGCTTCGGCCCGACCTCGCCCGGTGCCGCTAGACGGCGCTCGAGTGAGCATGTCCTCAGGAAGCCTGGTCATTCGCTCCGTGGTGGCCGATGATGCCGGGAAATACTACTGCCTCGTCAACAATACGGCCCGCCAGGACAGGGCCGAGACCGAGCTTGTGGTCTACGGTGAGAAGCCTGTCGTTTTCATCTATTTGCGAGACGCTCGATTTGTGTTGAAACCAGCTGTTTCAAAACAATACAGGTAGGCTGTCCTTTTGTTTTAACAGTTCACAGAAGTTCCAAATATGAGAGGCTTAGAAAGTAGCAATGTAGGAAGGCTACCAACCCAAATATTAGTACGTATTCTTTTTACAAAAGCACGAAAGCAAGTTAGGCCTTTTTAAGTTTAGTTCACGTACTGCCAATGCGGTGAAAGTGTTCCTGATAAGACAAAAAAATTTAAAATTGCATCCTTCCTATTAGTTACCACTAGTCGCTTCTTTCTAGTGTCCCTAATGTCTTTAGCTGTTTTCTCGGCTTCTTTTAAACCTGACCAAACTCCTGATGTGATGAACCACTATGCCATTCAATTATCCTCCAAAAAGTAGCAACTTTCTGCGAGAAAAGCTGAGGGCTTGCAGCTAACAGTTGTGCCTGCTTCATGTTGGAAGCGACTCCGTGTTGTGCAAGCTTTCTGGCAAAAAAAAAAAGGGAGATAACTATTGTACGATCACGACTGCGTTGCTGCCCACTTTTTTTTTATGTCAAGGAAATTTATGTTCTCTGATTGACCTTGTAATTTAGTGGTCTGCGGTTGAGTTGAAGGCTCGAGAGACTAATGTATGCTTTCTGGCATTCCGGATCTTCGACAATAGAAGTAATGATACTGCGGACAAACTGATAGTTTGAGGTGAAAGCATGTTTACATTCCTATCGTTCAAGTATTTCCGCCAGCGAGAATGGTAGAAAAATAGAGTTAGTTGATCCTATTATGAGACCACACTCTGGCTGCATAACCGGCACTTCGATGTACTTGTGATCCGATGTCAATCTTTACGAAGTTTACTTTTTTTGTGTGGCGCTTCAGACATTCTTGAGCTTACTGTGAAAGCTGTGAAAGTAATGAGCATTTGACCATAATGCCGGCGCATGTTTATATCATGTTTCTTAAAAATTTCTGAGAGATCAGAACATATAGTTATAATGAGCAGTGAGCCATGGTCTTATACTATAAAACAGAAAGAAACACTTTATAATACAGTGAAAGATAAAATATTAAGGTTAGATCAAGAAAAATTTAGGCATGCGAAGAAGACTCATGGGCATCTGCAGAACATCTACAACCATTTTGACACCTTGCTGCGGATTGCGCACTAGTGATAAGCCATATGTGCTTGTCAACTAGACGAAGAGACTACCTTTATAGCTTAAAAATACACGGGAGTAGCGGGTTGCGCTACTCTTGCCTCTTATTTATAAATCATGAAGTCACGTGGGAACTTCTGCTTGCGACGTTCCTTTTTTACCCAGCACTTCGCTTCCAGCGGGCGCTGCTTGCTGCAACTGAACGTTTACGTCGAGCTGTGAATAAATACTGTCGCTTGATATTTGTGGCTGCGATATGATAGGTGCTAACTATGAAATCGGGCACCTTCAGTATCTTGTGCGCATAAGGCGTTCTCTACCTAACATCAACCTTTAAATAAAACAAGTGCCATTGTAAAGAACCAAAGAAAAGCGAGAAAAAAAATGATGATGTAGTTCTTGAAGAGGCAGTGCCGACATGGCATCGTTCCCTGCGGTCTATCCTTTCACGGCGGATGCTCTAGCCAACGCGACAGCAGTTTTAGCGATTAAATCACGCGAGCTTCGTAATGGTGTGATCGCTTCTCATTAACGCGTGACAAATAACGAATCGATGACGTCCGCCGCGCGTAACTCGGCCGCGCGTCTCTCGCCGTCTGCGTGAGTGTGCACCCTCCTCGCTCAACGGCCGATATCTTACGCAGCACTCCTACAGGGTCTCCCGGTCCACTTTCCAAGAGGCGTCTTTATTCTAACGGCCGAAAATGAAGGGATTAGCTCGAGATTTATTGGAGTGATTAGGCGGGCCTCGCGAGATTGCTCGTCGTACTCCTGACGTGAAGCTGGGATTCGGCGCCTCCTCTCCCGTTCTTTCTTTTTCTCTCTCTTCTTGTGGTCTGAGAAGCAAAGCATTGAAATAAAGGAGGGGAAGGCGATGATTGAAGCTGCGTATGGACGTCTGATGGCGATGTCTCGCGCGCCGAAGCTCCATTTTGGAACCACCGCTGCGATGAGTGCACAAATGAGTTAGAGGACAACGAGGCAGAGGAAAGACATCAAAGAGATTGCGAAACAACACGTGCTTCACTGCCTTCTTTCAACATGTACCTCTTGGGTGAGGAACCCTTCTTGCACGTTAGATTGCTAAACAGTGAAGGATTACTTTTCTTCATTCGAAGTTTTATACGGGCTTTGTGGTGGTGCTATGCTACGAAAGAAAGGCCGCCATGACGCGAGAACAAAGTGGAAAAGGGCTGTCGGAATGAAATACTCGACGGAATAAGTGATGAAAAACCAGTGATGCAATACTTAATGAAGAGCATTGAGAAAGTTGCTAGTGGAAGTTACTTTGTGCGGTGTCACTGCTGGTCCCGATGAGATTTATCACCCGGAGACGTCTTAGTATCCGAAGTGTCTCACTGGGTTGAGCTTTCTCCTTCTGGTTATAGGCAGGTCGCAGGCGTAAACTCCCATTGACGGCTGCTGCTTTCTGGTAGACCAGCATGGAAAGGCAAAGCACCCTGGCAGGTAAAGTTATACCGTCTCGAGGACACAATTGATCCTGATATCTTCTCTTTCTGACAGTGCTTCCAAAGGATCATACTTTGTTTCGTTTTGTTAGACCATGCCAGTCAATCAATTATTCGGTAGTTTCACCACCTCCACCTTGTTATGTATAGTGGGCCGTATCTGTCTGTGACTCAACTGAGGCATAAAAGAGTCGAAGCCGAACCAAGTGTTTGCGGCATTTTGCAGTAAATCGTCAGAATGGGGCATAGTGTGGCAGCTGTTGTTGCGAGTTCCTAAGAGCCTATGGTGTTAGAACGTGCGCTCGTGTTGTGAATCTCACCATCTTACCAGTGTGTCCTGCACCTTTGTGGTGAGGAGTGAATGTCTACAAGACATGACGATAGTTATAGCGCGAGAACAGAACGACGACGAAGAGACTCACCTCTTTGTCGTCGTTCTGTTCTCGCGCTATAACTATGGTCACGTCATACCAACTAGCCCAAGCTACCACACGGCTACATGACGGTGCGACGAGCATTCACTCCCGCAGTGGCATGGAGCGTGAACATTGGCACTTTGTTGTTTTCGACGTCATCCTAGAGGTCCGAGTGATAAAAAAAAAAACTGCAGATAACTCATAAAATCAGTACTTTGTAAATCTTTTTTTTTGTTGCACGAAGGTTTTGGCAATTTCAACGTCGCATTTTCGCATTGGCACATAAGCTTATTGAATATTGTCGTATAAGAAAACTGACCTGTCTCAACAAACACTAATTTGAAAAGTTTGCTCTGCATCGAAAGTGTTATTGCCCTTCACCTGTGAGGGCAACTTGCGAAAAGCAAGGAACCGCAACTGGCATCATAGTTTGTTTTCTGATGCGGAAAGAAAGCAAAAAAAAATCCAGGACATGAGAAAGAGGCAGACGCAAACACTGGCGTTTGAGTACGCCACTTTCTTGTGAGCTGTGCTATTTCTGGCTTTTTTTAAGTATCTAAACCAACTAGGCCAGATAACAAGTCTTCCGAATAGCTTCTTTACAGAAGAACAGCGCGTCGACTATTTTATATTGCACACGAGACTCGAGTTTTTCAGTTTTGTAGTCCATGTGAATCCGAACGGGAACTGTGTCACTCAGCAAAAAAAAAAGATACAAAAGATAGCAGTCAGTGTCTTGGCGGCCAATCGAGCAAGTTCAACACCATGCGAACGTACTTGCAGCCAGATCAATCCACTAATCTATAAAGACAAGTAGTCCCGTGTTCCTTGGGAAAGACACAGATTAGCACAAAGCATACAGTCACCGGAAAATAACTGTTGTAGGCATGGTACAGAATGCCGGGCAGGGATTCCTTGACGGAGGGCCACGACTCAGCTACAGGGCAGAACCACGCCGATGTATTAAATAAAACCTATTATCTGACTATCTATCTCTTCCCTCTGCAATAAAGAGGAACGTGAGATACTTTAAGCGCAGGAACGTAGGTACGTGTTTCGGAGTTCTCATCACGTTTCTCAACTGAAAATGAATACGTTCCCTCATTTCTGACTCTAAGTTTTGGCAAAGGGTGACAATAAACCCAGTACGGATGTTCTAAAAGATTTCTTTAGATAGGCTATCTGTATACTTGGGGAGCTCAAATCTATTCCCCTCACAGCCGTTAGGAAGCGGTGCAATGTCGCATTGTGTATTCCTTGCAGCAGCATCACCTCTTTGACATTTGGTGCTACTATCTCCTCATCTAACGGGCAATCCTCAATATATTTCAATGAATCAGCAGAAAATCATCATATGGTGCATTGAGAAAGGGAATGAGTATTATGCATACAGCATTTGTATCTTTTGTAGTACGCCTTTATGCCAGAACGTAAACTTTCGCAGACAGCCCTTACATTTCTTACCTATTTTTTGTCTATCTCTGCCTAAATTTCGCCATGAAAAGTCATAGTATGGCTCTCTTTCACCTGATATTGCTTTCGTCTAGCCATGTAATCGTTTAATATCATATTCCGCATGTCATTACATAGCGGTTTTTATTCACCATATAGCACTCGGCCGTAATATCCATTCAGGCATCGGGTCACCCGCATACAAATAGGGGCATTTATTATGCGGAAATCTACAGAGTGTGTTGATATCTACAGCACACAATCGGACGTCGACTGCAGTAGTTTTTGCTGTGGTGGCCGTATAAGCGCTTCCATTGTCACTAGCTCAACGTACGAAGTAATACGAGGTAAAGGTGATGGCACAATGGAGGCCACCATGCAGTGCCATTTAGGTCTTTTCTTCTTTAGCTATTCACCCTGGCTGAGCCACCTATATATTTCACAAAGAAATGACCGCGGCAAAATGTTGAACAATGACTCGGGCTGGTCGATACACAATTTTTTTTTGGTTAAAGAGATATCAATGTTGAGCAGTTATTGGTACAACACGAGATTAAAATGAATTGATTGAACTCGGTGGGTTAATCGACATCCAGCAGCGTATATGAAAAAACATTAGTGCACGTACATCGAAATCGGGGAGAGGTATACTGCAGGTGCAATAGGAATATATCTTTACCGATCAGGGGTATATTAATGGCTCTTGCCTCCTCTGACAGAACGCACTCTCTCCACGAGCGGCTGTATATGGCTCCGCCCGTAGGGAACATTTATCAGGTCCACTGAATGACAAACGAATATTGATAGAGGTATAGCACACGCGATAAGCTAAGAAAAGAAAAAGAAAAACGAAGTTTGAGGCCCATTTCAGATTTAGTGATGCAAGCGAAATACAGCGAAAGACCGTGAGCAGGTCGCATTGTAGAAAAATATTCGTTCTCCGAATGAGGGAAATATATAGAGAGTAAAACGTAACGAAATGTAGGAAGCTTAACCAGAAGAATTAACTAGCTTGTTACCATGTACTGTAGGTACGAGAGAAAACAAATAACGAAAGAAAAAAATAAGAAAAAAAGTGCATAGTCACTGTTAATGCTGTTGATAGCCCCGCACGCCTTTTGCCGGTGTTGTGTACATTTTTTCATGCAGGATCACGCAGAAGCTTAGGAAGCGGTATTAGAGCACTGAAGCGTTCAACTGGTTAACTTCCACTGCCCTTACTTCCTTCTGGAAGACATCAATCTCCAAACGAAGAAGGCCTTGGGGACAGTCGGGTGTATCTGAGCTCATTTGCTATACCTTCCACCAATTCCGTGCCTACGTTGACTTACTTCGCTATGACATATGCTCGAAATGCAGCTCGAATGCTTTTATTAGGCGCTCTTATGATATCCATAAGCTTGACGCTATCTTCAGCCTGAAGACGACAAAAAAAAAATGTCGACGCGGAAATGTAGATGCGCGCCTTCAAAGGGAGACGTGCCACCGAATCCCTGTCCATTAAGGATATCATACAAACACACGGCACTAAACGAGCGTTGCGTCGTCTCTGTTCCTAAAAGTGTCGTGACACATCGGCTCGACGAGTCTCGGTTTCCTGTTTCGGTGACTTATTTAACATCCCTCATTAGGCCCGGAGGTGGGCAATTACACTACGCGCCATGCTCCATCTTTCCCGCTGCCCTTGTTCCCTTGTAATGGGGCTACAACCCGCCCTCGACCAAAGTCAAGCTGGACGTTATTATTTGCTTCTTGTTTCTTCTAGTGGAGATGTGTGCGTGGTTATGAGTGGTTGTGAAGGGTACGGAAAAGAGGGCGATGGAAGTAGTACTGCGCACAGACTCCAGCAGTGGCGGTGAGTGCACGCTATACTGACCACCGCGCGCGGCAGCGTGCTTTATGGTTTTCGTCAGAATTGAACCGACTCGTTCGCTAGCGAAGTGGACTCCGGGGAGCAGCCCGCGGCTGCCGTCTATGACCCAGGGAGGACGACGGCGTTAGTGCTGGGACCATTGGCGCCGTGCGGCGAAACATTAAACATCGACGCTGGCTGAACTTGCGGGGGGGGGGGGGGGCAGGAGGGAGCGCCAGCCTTCGCGGAGAGCTACACGAGCTCCGATAGCGCAGCGGCGCATAATTAAAGCGACGTACATTTTCGGTGTCGACACGTCGTCCCAGATCCCAGCCGGCCACGCGGTCGGTAGAGTTTGCGAGCTTGCGCTTTTGCCTCAGCTTCGCGTGCTGCCCTTACAGCTCTCCCCCTTCTCCCCACTCGCAATCTCTATTCTCCTTCTCCCCCGTTTTCCTCCTTGCCAACTTTACTCGACCTAATATAACGCTTTCTTCTTCCCTTCACTGCAACGGCAGCGGCTGGAAAGAAGCAGGTCCGAAATTATTCAGACAAGCCCAAAACTCCGAGCCACTCAGTGTTAGGCTTCTGTGTCTTCTCAACATCCCCTCGTCCCACCGTTTCAGCCAGCTTTATTGCTACGATGCTTCTGTGCGCTACTCTATGGCTTGCGAACCGGTTTTACCCCTGCCAGATTATGGCTGTCACTGCGTAGTGGGGCGCCAGCGGAAAGCGCACACACACAAAAAACAATCACCTCAGGAAGACAACAGCATGTGTAGAGAACTGGTGACGGAGTAAATAAATAACCCGGCTGGGCTGTTCAAACATTAGACGCGAATAAGGTAAAAGTAAATAGAAAAATAAGAAACACACGCTCACTGGCAATCCTGACCCTAAAATAATAATGGGAACAAGCCGTTAAATGGATGTAGGGTGAAACTTTTATAGAATTACTGAGTCGTGAAATATTAAATTAGGACAACTAGGCACAGAAGCTTAGCAACATGGGGCTGACAGAGCCTTTGTAGTGTATACGGACATTTACAAACTCCCGAAACAACGGGTATGCTCTTAACTAAAAGTAAAGAAAGTTCTTTGATTTCTGAAGGCTGTTGTTGAAGGATAAGACGTTGTATTTCATTATATTAACAGTTATAAATAAATTATTTATTTATAACTACATTACATGGCTCCCAAGGGTCAGTGTTCAGGGGGAGCAATACCAAAAATCACTTCATGAAAATAAATATTGATAACACGAATTAGTACAGAAGATGCAACTATAAACTCA